TGAGCTGTATATAGAAAGTTGACATTGGTTTTGAGTTCGATGACTGGCATAATGAACGCGAATTTATGTCAAGAAATACACGAACCCGCCAAGTAGTACTCGATAAGGAATCACCGAAAGTTTTATTAATTATTAAATGAGCATTAAATCATAATCAACTACGGGAGGCAGTAGTAATGTAAAAGAGTAGTGAAAACGTTACAGGATGAGTTTGATGACTGGCATAATGAACGCGAATTTACATCAAGAAATGCAAGAGATGCTTCAAGTAAAGAGTTTCGGCGGGCCGTGCCTCGTACGGCGGGTTGCCTGTACTTGGCGCGAGACTCGACCGAGTCTCTTGATTTTCTGCGTGTCAAAAACTCTGTTAATAACGTTGATTTCGTCATTATCGACTATTTTCCGCGGGTTTTTTTATTTCGTTACGAAGTACTGCCACTTGTTCATAGATGGTGCTTTTGTTTCTCGTCATTATCCGCATTCGGGAATATAATTATTGTCGGTTGTTAAAAGGTTGGCTGATGATAAATAGGCATAATTATTGAAGCAGAGATGGTGTATCATGGCGACACATAATGACATTATTATTAAGCTGATTTAGTTTTAAAAATCATTAAGAGTATAAAAGAATATTTAAGATCCTCTATTCTGTACTATGACCGATTATCTACTTTTATGACCTAATTACGCGCGGCAAACGATGAACTATCAACCAATGATACCACGCTTCCATAAGAATTCATTTGCACCATTGCTCGAGAGTCGTATTCAGTGGGCGTGATCAAGTTCATAATCGATACCTACCTCAGGAACGAGTAGATCGGTCATAAACAGTCTCCACAGGAGGTGCTCACAGCGAAAAAATTAAAAAGAGAGCGGGATTCTAAAAAAATCCGCAAGTCTGAATATAAGAAGTGAATGGGCAATTCCCAATTTTGAATATTCTTACGTGATCAATACCACACACATGCATACACACTGTTCGACTCGCTTTATTATCAACGAATCGTATATCGTTACTTGTAATAGTAGTGATAGCAGTAAAATAGTAGTAGTAGTAATAATGTTATAAAATACGCGATTTGAACATCGTGACTAGAGGCTCGCGCGATCTCCAGTCTATATTCGCAGTAAAAAAATGATGGTCTTGCCTCACAGTAGATCTAATTATTCTACTATTAGTATTATCGTTAAGAAATAAAGTGTAAGAGATAAAATTCAGCGCGTCTCCTAACTGAAAATCATGCTTAGTATAGGATTAAGACGAAAATTCTCCCAATACGATAAAAAAATCATTTAAAAGTCAATAAACTAAGTTTGCACCTTGTCACAAGACAAACGACACAACAGTCGTCTCCGAAGAAAATGTCGATGCTTCAGTATCAACTCAATAACCCAGCCTGAACACAGCTTCAAAATACTTTCTACTCAAAAACCCATCAAGTACGGATCTGTCACATACATAAATATCCAGGAGTCTCGATGAAGATGGTGAAAGACTTGTTGACTCCGTCCTCGAGTACGTACGTACGTAAGTAAGCCATACGAGTATCGCGGTATCGCCATGAAACGTAGAGCAGAAAGAATCGCTTCGAATAAAGTCGCATTCTTTCACTGACAAATAAAAATAACGAAAAACACTAAGGATCGACAGACGACTAAGTACCTGGTGCAAGAAGAGGACAAAAGAGTAATATCGCCTTCATGTAGGTTAAGTAAAAATTGTTCTCTTCCTCCACCCACGCACAAATAAAAATTCTGCCGTCCACCTCCCTTAGCATTCCCTCGACACGATTTTACGAATCTGGAAGCACGAAACACATTTTCCTCGCGAAAAGTTGAATCACCCATGGGCTTACGAATAGAAAAAAAAAAAACCCCAGACAACGTCGTGACAACCTAACGAATCGAGTCTCGTGACGTAGAGATAAATGAGAAAAATGGCGCTTGAAAATATTCGTTAATCAGTAAGTAATTAGTTCATTATTACGCGTTACAGTATATTGTATCAATTGTATATAGTAAATAGGTACATACGTGTTAAACGTTAAAGAGGCAACGGTTATTAATTGGTGGTAGCAAAAAGATCCCGCGGATGTCTCGTTGGAACGAGAAGGCTACGTGCCGCGTCTAAATAGCTCGCGGAACGAGATGGCAAACAGTGGCAATGATACTGCCGATCGGCCGTTAACAAGGGTTCGATAGAGTGAAAGAATCCGTTATACTGCGATCACGGCGATCCCCCGTGAACGCATCCAGAAGGTTAAAGTGACGATCGTTGAAATACCAATCGTAATTTGAATTGGAAATAAAAAACGCGCGAACCCTTGAAAATAGTACGATCGGTCGACGCGTACCGGAGGCGAGTATCTACACACAAGTAGACAATATCTAATTAGTGTACGCCAAGTCATTACATTATGCGCTCGTACGTAGAGTCGTACTCTAATACACAGTACTAAGGTTATTAGTAACAATAATAGTAGTACGCTCGTAAAGTATTAAAATTACGGTATGTATTACAGTAGTACAGACGCATCTTATTCGTACCGCTCGTATACGAAGCAGCACGTTTTATGCATTTACGAACGTGATCGTTAATCAGGATCCCAAGATCGTAGCGTCCCGAATTTTTCCGATCATTGCGTCACGCTCGAAGCACTTAACATTCGAGGAAGTAAAAGCCAGTCCGAAGGTCCATTGCATGTGAGACAATGATTTTAATTGTTTTGAGGAACACCGGATTATCCTTAGGATTTAAGATTATCGTGAAACCATACGAAAGAGAAAGAGAGTAAAACATAAGAGACAGTGTCAAGAGAAAGAAAACATTAAGATACAATTGAATAATTTCATCTAATCAACAAATATACACATACATACACGTACACACAATCGATTACCAATAAAGCCACTGATAAGAGATAAGGGTACAGAATTGACAGTGAATTTGATGAGTATAACACCCCCCCCCACCCCCCACCCCAACCACAATTCCTCGAAATACGTTTATGAAAAAAACAAACTCATGTCTCGGGAAAAAAAATTGTTTTACTGTAATTAAAAAATTCCAGATACCAAGGTATTAGGGTAAAAACAAGATGGTGGACAGAACGATGAAAGAGGGAGATTAAGAATGCCTGCAACTCGCTGCCATTAACAAATTTAACAATTATCATCTAACGCGTTAATTACTTCACGTATAAGAGAACCTTCGGTAGGCTTGTGGCTTTCCTGTACTGAGACCTAATCTAACCTGAGAGTGCCGCTAGACTATTGCAATTTCTAACGCAAAAAAAATACAGGACGCTCTTTCGTCAATCATCTCGCAATCTAAATCTCTTACTGTCTCATGCTGTGTAGTTTCATTATTTCTGTGTTTGAACGGGCAACAGAGGCCACGAGGCAGTCTTACGTTATGTGCGTGTCATTTACAAGTATTACATAAGAATTGAAATAAAACATATATATTAAAAAAAAAAAAAAAAAGATAAGATAATCGCGATCATATTAGCCCGAAATCACAAGACGGCTCCCGGTTGGATGAAAGAAGAGAGAAAGAAAGAAGGAAATACAAAATGTGATAAAAACAAGTAGAACGGAGCGAGAACAAAGAACAGAGACACGTGTGCTTCAAGCTTTCGGAGAAGCGTCGAAGGCCGCAAAACTCCAATTGCGTATTTGATTTGGAGACAAAGGGCTTATTTTTTTTTTTTTTTTTCGGAGTACATAAATATAATATAGCCGCTATTACAATTTGTTAGGTTAGTGTCATCGTATTACAATAATAATAATAATATAATAATAATAATAATAATACATTTAGCCTAGTTGGTATCGTGCGGATCGAAACCGATCCGATTTATAGTCTATTTATGCACGTTTGTATTTCAATAGAAATTTCTTTTTCAAAATTTATCCCCCCCTTTCTTAACTCGTCACCGTTTCCCCTTAGCCCCCTCACACCAACCCAACCCGCCCGCCACCATTCGCTATTAAGAGAAGTACAGTCGACGCGATAATTTTCGTTCCCTCTTACTCGAATCATCGATTAGTTTCGCCTTGACCCCCCCCCCCCCCCCCCC